ATTATATATTAGTAATCCAGCAAAATTTAACGGATTTCAATGTTGGACAGCTCTTATCAAAATCGGAATGTCAGATATCATAAAACATTCATAGCTCACAGTTATATGTATTATATTATATGTATATAATGCTTCTGTCTTTCATTCAATCTATACGTTTCTAATATATTATTATATACGTATGTATACCAGAAATAAAACAAAACCCAAATAGGTAAAGTTTACGAAAAACATAGTTGAGAACAAGTGAAAAGGTTTATGGGACCGCACCCATTTGTCGGGGAATGTTTGTGACTGTTTGTCCGTCTGATTCCATGTCCAGCTCTTTGTCCGTCTGTTTGTCTGTGTGTTTTCTTCCTTGTTTCTTTCTATTCCGTAAGTCACTTGGCCCATTTTTGACATTTAGTTTGTTTTTCCTATTCTTTTTTTTTTTAATTTTGAAGCTTAACGTAAAATGAATTTTTGTGGCTGTAAAAATGTTTTGCCACGCACGCGATGAAAATAAAATGTCAGCGACAGGTGCAAGTAAGGTGAGTCCCAAGTCAACGCTATACATATATATGTATATCCTTTGTCTTCGTATGTTTATGTATATATGTATTTATGTGTGTTTATAGAATTATGAATTAGAGTGCAAGGTCAGGTGAAGAAGGAACAGTTTGTCCATCAGCTGTTTCTGGGAATGCTGAGAGTGTTTCGATACATAAACATAAACATTGCCATTGATATATAAATATTAGCTGGGAAAGTTATCAAAACTTTTTAATACCTTGTAAATAGACATATGTATGTATAATTACATAAACAATATATACATTTATATAGTTTTTAGATATATTTGACAAATTGCTTTAGCCTGACTTCAGCGTTCCAGGTTCCGGGCTCTAAGCTTCATTTTTTGATAATTTTCTTCCTAATGGATATATAAGGTCTAAATGTATTCTATGCATATATATTTTCAATCTCTTTCAATTTATGTGTAACTGTAATCTTAGTTCTTAATATAATATATATATCCTTCGCATATCCTTCTTAATATATATCCTTATACATGTATTCTCCTTTTGCTAATATAGAATCAAATAGTCTTCGAGCTAGGATAACAATACATATACGTATTATCTCTTTTCGCAGTACAAAAGTACAGTACAACTGTATTAAATATATGGGAATTTAATTATCTGCCACGCCTCTTAAAGGCAAGCATAACAAATCTTGTAACTTCATTTGACTGCGATATGGGTGTCTCGTAAATTCAAGTCTTTCACGTTGATATCAAGTAAATGTCTCAGCGTTATACCATAAATGATAAAAGAGAGATGTTCTCAAAAAGCCAATATGCTCCACATAACACACCTCCGAGCGTGTATATAAAAGTAATAAAAATATTATGTTCGAATTTCTGCTTTACACAAGCTTCATATACCTTTAAGGGTTTAGATAAAGGGAAAGCTAAGTAAATTTACAAATATATATACTGAGCTTTGCTATGTAAACCCTTAAAGGTATATGTTCTTTAAGTAGACTACACTTTATTTATACATAAATTTTCTTAATTAGGAATTGACCTAAAGCTCTCTTTATATATTGTATCTATAATTATAATTATAAAATTTAGTT